TCTCTCTTTCATTGTTTCTGCTGATGTTTGACCCTTATCTCCGCTCTCGTCTCTGCTTTCCTCTTTCTCTCTGTCCTCTCCCTGCCTCAACCCAAGATGGTTCCTTCTCGGAAATTGTTCTTAAGAGGGATATTGAGAATTGAATTACAGAAGACGCACCCTGAGTAACAGAATATTTGCTCGAAGACTGGGTCAGAGACGACGGTGGGATACGTGACCTACATCGCAATTTCACTTTTCACAAGAATTGTATTTTCACACTTGCGGTAATGTAAACGATGTAATGACCAAGCATGAAAAATAAATAATCAGCCAAACAAAAATAAATAAACAACATTGAAATAATATACATGTTTCATCAATTCATAAATTGTCTATTATTGATTTCCAGAAATATGTTAAAAATATTACAAACCATTAATAATTTCCTGAAGATAGACTGATTATAATATTAATGCAATACTTGAAATTTCTGTATTCAGTATTTCTTGGATCGCTACATGGGCAAAAGGCGAATCTTATATCTTGCAGCTGCGGAGGCGCACGTGGGCACATGATTGGAGACGGTCCGCAAGCGCCGAATCTCTAAAGCCCAACGCTCTCAACTGACGTTTCTTCTGCAACCCTTTTCAAATCCTGAGCTTCTCTCTCTATGATTGAACTCATAGCAGATTCTGTATAGCAAAGGACAATTACAATGGAATTTCATTCTCGCCTCTCGCTTGCACCAGGAAAACCTCGTCAACGTAACACTAAGTTGTAAAGGGTGTTTTTCATTGTTACGAGCGAATCGGCAATGTAAAATCAATCTGTGTTTTCTTCAACCCATTACTGTTATGGAAGTTGTCTCTCACATATAAAGTGCAAGCAGTTTGTGTGTGACTCGTCAGGTTAACCTGGAACTAGAACGGAGCAGTGATAGCTTGTTACCCGTACTCTACACTGCAAGAGACAATTCCGATTCGCCAAGACGCCGTGAATAAGATTGAGAGGATTCAAGTCTGCTGCCAAATAATTTGTCATCTCATATGTTTAACAGTGTTATTTATAGCTTTCTTTTCAACCAGTGTAATTGTGATTGTACTTTTTTAGTCATACAGTATTTGAGTAACTGCGAGCCTGTGTGTGTGTGTTCACCGAGACATATATGAAGTGCCAGTGCCATTCGACGAATCTCGGTCTCCTCGATAATTTGTTTTCGGATTCAGCCAGAAAATTCTAAGAAGTTTCCAAAAACATGTTTTTGCGTGTTTTAGCGGTATGATCTTAGTGGGTAGACGGATAATTAAACCAACGACACCTACATTTATTTATGTAGATGGGGTTGATTAAACCCGAGTATCCAGAGTTTATTTTCACTCCACACACCATTCTTTTGTTCTACGAGGATGGCATCAATTTTCTGGAACATGTAAAACATGCGGCAAAACTGTCAATAATGATGTAGCTTTGAACATAAGAAGTAAAGTGTTTAGCCTATAATATCGTATTTTTAATAATAAATTTACAAATACCTAGGTAGAGTATTACTGGGAACATATTAAATTTGAAGAAGGTCAAATGAATACGGAGAAATTCAGAACTGTGTGTAATGTTAGTGAAAGGAAGCACATGCGTAATTGTCAGTGCACATTTACGTTGTTAACCGTGGAAGTACCGGAGAAGAATCAAATGTTATTGTAAAAAGTTTTGTAACATAATTTATGGAACTAATTGAGAAAGATCTTATATTAGGATCAGCGAATGACGCGGAAGAACAACTTACAGGTAATCTTTTATGTGCATTTTTATGCTTATTATAAAAAAAATTGTCAAATATAGTTGTACTAAATTCTAGCTATTCGCATAATCTATAAATGCAAGCATTCTTTACGCCGATTACAATTTTGGAATTGCAATATTACCAGTACATATCCCATATGGAGGTAACATGCATGGTTATTGGGTGTTGGAACTTTTTGAAAGGGAGTATAACATTATCAGCTATTACGATTCATTGGTACTCGTATGTGCAATGCCAGAGGCTGTGAGAACTTACTTGAAGAAGTTCTACATGGGTATTTAGAAATTTTAATATTGCGAAAAAACAGTTTTTTGCATGGCCACGCCACAGTCAGTTAGTCTAATGAATCAGTTTTTTAATTGTTAAATCTTTTAAGTGTTCCATTTTATATTTTATCGTTGCGAATACATTTCAACCTCACGGCATCAAGTAATTTAGTCGCCTATTGACCTGGTTCTTCCAACTATTTTTAATCGTTAATGTGCGCATCAAAGCGCTTCATGACGAAGCGCTTCACGTGAAAAATTCCGTAATACAGTAAAGTAGGTCCATTTAATTTCCATCTGAATTCATACATCAATTTACGAAGGACACTTGAAAGTTCTCCACAGAGAAATGAAGCACCACTGCATTTAATACTAATTTCTTTGATTTTTTTAGACGCAAGTAACCCGACTTGTAGAGAAGCCCTACTTAGAAAGGCATTGAGGGCAGCGAAAACGTGTTTTCAACCGAGAAGCCTCTGCGTTGCCGCGCACGGGGCCCTTCATTTATCATGGAAACTAGTTCCACTGACATGCACCACTCTTGCTCGCGAGAGAGCATATCCACGAGTGAACAGCGACGCAGGAGAATCAGCACTGGGCGCCGTTACCAGTGAAGAGTGGGGCCATCAGTGGAAGGGGAGGGAGTTGGGAGAAAGAGACGGGGATGAGGGGCAAGTGGAATGAAAGTCTCGTGGGTGCCGAATGGGGGAGGGGGAAAGGAAAGGAAGAAGCACGTGTCGAGGTGAGAGGAGACAGTGAGAGAGGTTGAAATGAAGGCAATGAGGTAAAGACGGGAAAATGAGAGAAGATGCGTATAATGAAATAAAAAAACAGGCCGCTCTTTACACAGAATGGAGTGGGGGTGAAGACGGGGAGAGGGGAAGCGTAATGAAAGGGGAGCGTTGGGGGAGCGAGATACGAGGAGGGGGAAAAAAGGAAGAATTACCGTTCGTGTCGAGGAGGCGAGGGGAAAGGGAGAGATTGAAGGAAAGGCAATGACGTAAATATGTGAAGAGTAGGTGTTCGAGAATTGCTTACATTGTATGAAGAATAAAGGGTAAGGTCGGAGGGGAACTGAGATAGAAAGTAGGAAGGAAAGGAGCAAAGAAGAGTGTCGTGATGGGGGAATGAAGTCAGTGCCAAGTGGAGGTGAGCGGGGAAGGCGAGGCGAGGAAAGGAGCAGTGATGAGGAGCGGGAGAAGGGTGAAGTGGGAGTGAAGATAAAGTGGCACCTGAGGAGGAGAATTTGTGGGAGCCGCTTCTGTGGAAGAGGCATTGGAAGCGAGAGTGAGACGGATGCTGTTGGCAGGTGTTCGAGTGAGGGGTGAGGTACTGAAATGGCCTATCACAGGGAGGAGATTGTAAACGGGTGGGGTTGGAGGAAGAGTCGACATAATTCGCGCGCGAGAAAGCCTGTCTCGGGATAAAATGACGTGCTGACGGGGCGAGGAGGAGTGGATTACTTTGAGATGTAGGTTACGGAGCGTAGGTTACGGGCTGAAGCGGGTCGATGAGGGAAGTTAAGCAGCTGACTAATTTGAAGCAAAGCAATATAGCGTGGAATTAGGTTCACGTTGAGGTTGTGAGCAGGAGTTGAGATAGAATGTTAGTTTATTGAGAAAAAAATACAGTGACTATAGAAGCAAGAAAACAAAAATTATTGACGAAATGTTATGAACAGCATTATAAACTGCAAAATTAAATTGAAAATATGCCTCATAATTATTATACAAATAAATACATTCAAGAAATTTCTCAAACAATAATTTTGGAAGAAGTATCGCCAAGGCATCAGAAAGAAATCTGAGCGCGTAATTTAATATTGTAATTTGGCAAGAGGAACTTGCGCTAAATCAATATTTAAATAATTTACAGATTTGGTACATATTGGAGAATAAAATGAATTTGAATGAAGAAATATTTTATAATAATAAACATGAATGCTTGTCAAAATACTAAACCACATGAGCTTAAGCTCACTAGCAGCCAAGGAGACTGTGAAAAGGAAATTCAACTCCGGTAAAGGAGGCTTGGTTGTGCACTTAGGAAAACCGTCGGGACAGCATTAGCGACATCTCGTTAATGTAAATGAAGAAGCATCTCAGTTCTTTTTGGCCAACACATACTTGACAAACTCTACATACACTTTAGTGTGAGTAAATAGGTGAAGACGGCGTTGACACATGACCGGAAATGTTTTAAAAGGTTCTTCCATTGACCGCGTGATATGTCTGAAGCTAAGTCTGATTAGCTGCCGGCGCTTTGCATTTGCGGCCCTAACTCCGGAGTTGAGTCTCCTTCTAACAGAAGGCACTCTTGCTAGTTGCTCTTAAGAGTGCCTTCACATGGAGCCACTCGGCGGCCAAGCGCACCAAGTTGCGGCAGAGCCTTTCAGTCAGCTACCGACGACAGCCATTGACCGTGAGAGAGGAAGGTTTCGTGAGTCACACTTCTGTGAACTCAGGTGTCCGATAGGCAAGCAAAAAGCACCAACAGATACAGTGGCGCGACTAGTGTGAACGCTGTCATTTAGAACTGTGTTCTGCCAGCTAGCGAACACCATGTCGCTACCATACACCACAGCAGCGCAACTCCACCACTCGTGTGATGGTCTCTGTTTAAAGAAATGTTTTGCCAGGAGACGCGCCCCTCGGAAGCGCTGCTGAGTGGCGACATATGAAGGGGCCCTGAGGCTACTCACTGGGTGTTCTGCTAGAGGTTACGCGGACGCACTTCTGGCCACTCATGTGAATACCTCCATTTAAACCATTGCTTTACCAGCAGAAGCGCTGCTGAGTGGCGCCGTGTGAAGGGGTCATTCGGCTACTCACCCGGTGCGCGCGAAGTTGCCCAGGTAGATGAGCACGGCCTCGGCCAGGGCCACCTCGGAGCGCGTGTAGTTGCGCGGGAAGTGGCCGAAGCCGTCCACCAGGGGCGCTCCCAGCACGTACGGCAGCTCCTCACCGTGCACCGTGCCCATGCGCTGCAACACATCAACAACACCACTCGTCAATTACTAGTTTACACGGCGATAAATCAAAACAACAAACATGTATTTATATATTTGCCATTTTAAGGTTGACTTTTGCCAACCAGCAGTATTTCCAGGTTTGGTTTCTGATTTGTCTTTATTATCAATGCTTGGGGATAAGGAAGGCATATGTCGAGAAAGACGTACCGAGCTTACTTGGCCTGCCTGACATTTTTATTTCGTCACAAAGCTATTAATAACTTAAACGATTTATAGAAGAAAACAACATCTTCATTTCTGCCCCGACCGGGATCGCCTCACAGAAAGCTAGCATGGTCACAATGTGACACCCGAGGGGCACAAAACAAAACTGTTCATTTAAGTTCATTACAGTTTTCCTATCAGTTCATGTTCTTACTCAATTCTCTTCTTCACTTAAGAGACACTAGTTCTATATCTGCCATTAATTTACCCCTGATATTAGATGATCTTGTTATGGAATTCACATATAAAATATTTTTCTTCCTTGTACGTTATTGGGAGGATTTAAATTAAGAAATCGGAATATCTAGAGAAAGACGCACTGTACAAAAACTGTGTGGAATAAAATATCAATATATCAAAGGAAAAACACGTCTCTGATACATTGTCTCTGTTACTTTGTCTCTGTTAGCTAACATGAGTGACGTCGATCAACTTTGGAATTCTAAATTTCGACTTTCGGAGGCACGAAATTTTAACAAGTGTTCTATTGGTTTACGAAATCGTTTTCAAAAAATGAAATTGTTTGCTGCACATTATTAATAAAATTAAAAAGTGAGAGGTCTTAATTTTAAGTTTTTATATCGTCATCTATAGGGAATAAAATCATATTTCAGTAAGAAATTTCATCCTCTTTACCAGAGAATATCGAAATCCAATACAAGAGGGGAATTCAATTTAATTTCTGTCGTTGATCCTCATCCATGCAATGCGGAATGTGGAGACAGGATGAAAGGAGCATAGGTATTTCGTTTTAGAAAATATTGACATTTTATTTAAGAAATTATTTGTACATAGAATGTTCTTCATGACTCTTCAATATCGTAATTGAAATGAAGAACTAGGAAATTTTATAGAACCAACTACATACATTCCCAAAGTCGAGCTGTTCAAATGTCAAATATTCCTGAAAATGTAGATACACAATGAGAAAAAATAGATACAAAATGAGAAACAATTATGCAGATAAATATCACAAGAAAAACGTTGATAAAAGTATTGATAAAATTACCAGCTTTTTTTAATCGCTCGACACAACGCAGTACAACGGTGTACACGCGCTCGCTTCTCCTCTGCAGACCATGTTGCAGCAAAAAGGTAAATATACGAACCGTATTCACTGGGAAAACAATCTGCTAGACGATCACAGAATATGTGTAACCAATAAAAACCCACGCTAGTTGAAACTAATGCGGTTCTTTTTTGCTAGCTCAGTCTGAACGCACAGGGCGAGAGTGGTGTCGTTGGAAACGGATTTTGTAAACACAAGCGCTTTTGTCAACCTAAAATTCTATAAAAGTTAAAACGAAGTTAGAGTTGAGATTGAAAATACACATGCATGTTTGTGTATACTGAAGGTACTGTTTTTGTCATTTTAGTAACACTGTACTTTGACATATATTTTTATAACGCGATATTTGCGTATTGCAATCGCTTTTGTTGATGACAATGTTACCACAAGGCAAATCGTTTTGGTATAACCAAGAAATATTGTAAGCAGGGGGGACACCAGTCACAAACGCTGCAAATTTAAAGTCTTAACTGGAGGATCGACAAAATAGTTGGGTAAATTCCACTTCAAATGGATCGCCTCTGATTGTATAGAGATTTAACCCCTTCTAATCGCAGAAGAAATTTCAATGTTCCTCAACCTGACTACTTTACATGGAGGAGGTTAAGTGATTTAGTTATTATTGTTTGGAATTTGTTGTCAAATAATTTACATTTTACTTAAATGCTTAAAACACTTTTACCACTTCTATGCATTCTTAGTTTATACCGCCCACTTTCAATTATCCCTGAATTGTTGGGGTGGATCCATGATTATCTTTGCAGTCAATGTCATATTTCAACATTATACTTCTTCAATCCTTAAAAAATATGGCCACTTCACAATTCTATACATCGTTAGTTTCTTAACTGTCCACTTTCATTTGTCACTGCGTTACATATCTCATTTTTTTTGTTTATCGCTGCACTTGTTCATAGCTCCCCACATTACTTCTTCAAATCGACTTTTAACCGTTATTATCTTTCATTAATATTACCAATAGTTTATTAATTTATTGATTCGTTCTCTACTGCTTAGATAGCGGTAGAGTGGGGCTTGAGTTATTTTGGAATTTCATAACAGCGTATCTCACAAGAACGTCAATTGCAAAAAATGCTGTTTGTTACTGAGATTCTAAGTTCTGTCGATAGACTCGGGTCAATCGCTTACTCAACAAGACGCCAGAAGATCTTGAGATTTAGCCTCGTTAGGTATTAAAAGATTATGATTGTTTGCTTGATTGTTTAGTGTTTATGGGCGCGCCATCTGCAATGTTCTGCCCCGTTCATATAGTTCATGGTAAATCCCTGGATTGTAGGCGTCCCTTCCCCTCTGGATCGTAAAATTCGCCCCGGATCAAATTTGATTGCGGGATTTTAGCATCTCACGTTTCTGGATTTTTTCAACAGGTATTTCCGAAAGCTAGTGAGTTTCCGAGTTTATTCTACAGGTTTTTAGGTATTTCCTCAAACTGTTGTGTTTCCGGGGTTTTCCTACAGTTATCTATTCAAGCTGGGCGCCGGCCTAATTAGACAATACCTAAGCTCGCGTCTGGTTTCCAGACTTGTACGGCAGTACAATTCATGTATGTGGAAGTGATGGTAGTAAGGGAAAAGGAGGGGAAATGGGTTAGGGAGAAATGATCGCGCGCGTTATGCGGACCATTTATTAAGGTACTGCTCCGGCATTCATCTGGTATTGATCGGAGAAGCAACAGAAAACTAGCGATAGGAGCTGCCGATCGCTGAAATTCCCCTCCAGACATAAGATGAATTTGTCCTAGCTGTTTAAGAAGTGTCTAAAATCAGCTACTCTTTGATTGAATTGAATTGAATTTGCCTTATTTTACGTGGCGAGACTCGGGCCATCAGGCCCGCTCTTCCGTCTGACCACGCAATTTCGCTACGCTCCTTTCACCAACTAGGAGAGAAAGGAGGTATTTCTTGGGCGAGAAACAGGCGATTTTGAATTTAGCTCAGAGGCGTCATTTAGGCTTGAGGATCTTTTACATGCAAGTAAATCTACGAACATGGGACAGCCGGCTTTACTTCCCCTCCGAAGGAAGGCGTACGAAGGATTTTTTCGCCCTTAAAAATCCACGGCTTCGATCGGGTTTGAACCCGCCAACCAAAGGGTACAACAGTCCAGTACGCTAACCGTTACACCATCGCCGCCACTCTTTGGGCTCATGCTCTAGGTCATGCTCATGCTCATGCTCTAGGAGCTCCTGGTCAGTGACATTGCAGAGAAAAACACAATGCTGTCACTAAGTTTCCTCTGGCGGTAATACAGTCAGATCGATTTATATAATTCATTATTTGTTCCTTAAACCTATCAGTTATTTTCAAATTTACTTTTATCTTCGATTGTATTTAGATGAAGTTAATTTTTCTCCAGTTATACTTATCACTGTGCTTACCGATTCCATTCACCTTAAAGTCACATATCTAATGTTACAAAAGTATGGAAATTGAAAGAAAAATATTACCTTGCCGTAACTTATTTTCTTTATAACAACTACGCCAAAGAATACAGTTCTTGTCTTTAACATAGTTTCATAAGAGTTACATTTGTTCGTTCAGATGGGTGATCAAGCTCTTCCATATTCCTCTAGAATAGTATTGAGGTTTCCCGGAACGATGAAATATCTTAAGTTTTATTTTAATTTTATCATCGTTTTTCAAAATAAAACTAGCAACAATTACTAAACATTATATTAAGGTAATACAAATAAGATGAAGTAATTCGACTGAAATTGTTAACAAGTTCGTTTCCTAAAGAGAATAAGCAGTGAAAGAAAAAAAAATACAACTCCTTCATTACCACCCTAGCGTGAAGCAATAATAGCTCGTACCTATACCGCCAGAACTTAATTAACACGGTTAATTATCACCGCCTGTTCCAGTTGGGTGGATTTGCAGGAATCGCTCCTAGAGGGCGAGGAAACGAAACGCTGCGCGGCACGTGAGAAGCCAGCGATGAGAGAAATGGCGTTTCGGGGAAGTGGTCGGAGCGCATAGCGCGAAATCTCGTCTATAGCGTATTACGATCTCTATCTATAGCGTATATAGCGTCTATAGCGTATTTCTATCTCTGCATATTTGTCCTAGCGAGATATTGGCGTAGACGTACAGGGAACTAACATCTATGTTTCGTAGACGATCATTAAGTGAGTGTGTCTTTTTTATAACATTTTTCTCCCACATGGTGTTTTTATCTGTCATCATCGCAAGAATTATAAGGTAAACGCATTCGTATACAAAGAAAGCGGTAGGCTTCCTTGGCCGGAGTCAATATCTTCTTGGCTGCCTGGGAGACACAGAGTACTAGTCACTGATGACAACGATTCGGCTTTCATGAGGTGACCTAAATAAGCAGCAGTCTATCTCCGCGCATTTTGCCCTGAGGAAGGTCGCCTCATGACGGTCGGAGCGTTGAAATCTGTGCGCAGATGCAATCTCCCGAACAGCCAAGTTGATAGATCTGAATATAATCTGGGTTTGATTTCCCGTTTCTATCACAGAACAAACTTAACATGATGGAAAGATCCTCTGTCTCTCCATTTACACACCCACCATAGGTATTAATAAGGATTTGTATTAGTACGAATTTAGTGAGATAAGACCAAATGAACTAATGAACTACAATTGGAATACTTTCTTCTCGCCCTCATAAAGAATGTAATTTGGGCACATTTTAA